AACTTAACAGTGGACCAACACTGCAGAAAATGCAATGCTGTTGTCTGGAGAGAGATGTGTGCCTGAGAGGCTAATGCTGAAGGCAGTTCTTTCTCTTGCAGTGTGACGCCCATCTAGGCCATGTGTTTGATGATGGTCCTGCACCTTCTGGGCAGAGATTCTGTATCAACAGTGTTTCATTAAATTTCAAACCAGACTCCAGTCAGTAAGAAATGGATTTTTGTGGCCTACAGAACTTTCTTTTGCCATTCATACAACAAGCTTGTGAAAAACGATCACATTGTTAAATAGAACTCAAATTTGAGTTCCTTATGCTGTTGCAGTTTTCTTTCCAGCTATTGTCAGTGTTGATCAAATGTGTATTTTCGTGATGCATGTTGGGCAGTCTGCCTTTTCATGGTTAGTGTGATGTAAGTGTTGATGTTTACAGTATTTTTAATTAAAAAAATCTGTGTGATAGAGTCATAACTCTCATCATTAACTGCGTTGAGAATGTTGAAATGAAATGCTTTCCTGAAACTGACTTTGCCTATGCTGAACTTAAAATGTTAAAAGATATTCTAGTTGTGACACCCAGGAAGACAGTTACACGCTGCTGATCATGCCAGAGCTTTTACTTCAATATATTGAGCTCATCATATCCTAGAGGAAAGCAAAAATAACAGGAGTCTCCAAATAAGGTTTGAGAGCTTTTTTCTTTTTTTTTTTTTTCCTCTCTGATGTGAGAGACATTTAGCCACATCAGTGACTTTTCTGTGAACCCATAAAAGCAAAGTTCTGAAGTAGGGCCTAGCTAAAACTATTCCAGGAAACAGAACCAGTGGAGATATGGAGTCTTTCTTTTAAATCAATGACTTTGATTCCGTGTCCAATAGAGAGCTGAAGTAGGGTTTGTTCCACGAACTTCCTGTCAGAGAAATATTACTCTAACAATGTAACGATCTGTGTAATATCTCCAGCCTTCTGTTATCACTTGCGTACTTCAGAATCTGAAAGGAAAAATGAATGTGAAGTTTTCTGTATTTGGGGGTAAAAACATTAAAAAATATTCAATAAAATGATCCTTTTGTTGAAAACGTGCCTGGCTTGTTCTTCCTTGTACAAGTTTGTGAATACTTTTGTCACCCTGGTTTACTGTAACAGGAAAATAAATCATACATGTGTTAAATTGAGCTTTCCTGCTTTTGGATTTTTTTTCACATAAAATAATCTTTGAGCCAGAGCATCAGCTTCACTAAATGGGCTGGGTTTAAATGCTTCCCTGCTGAGAGTTACTAGGCAACATCTCATTTGGTTTCACCTATAACAGGCTGTTTCCATTCTCCCTCTTCTGGTTGCCTAAGTAATAAAAAGGGTGTGTTCATTTACTTGACCTTCTGTGGCCTAAGTTAGTCTTAAAACTGTTCAATGTCTTTAGAAAGTGGACTTTTAGTGCACTGAGTTTACTTTTGCTCTTAATCTGTGTGTCTTGGAGGTCTGCAGCGTTTCTTTCTCCTGTACTTTCAAATGGAGAACTGTACAATTTCCTAACTTTGAAAAAACATCACACCAATACGGTGATGGCCACAGCCAACCTCAAACAGCATGGCATGAAGGCCATCAGAGGCAGGAAGCAGCATGAATAAACAGTTGCTGCTACTGCTCTTATGTGTGTCATAAATGGTGACAGTCATGTTGTGTCATCAGATGTGCTAATGGAAATAGTGTGCTGCTTGTTGACTCTGTGCTTTGTCACGCATGATGCCATTGCATCATCTGCCACTATTGCCTGCTTCCTGCAGCCAGGATATGAGTGCCCACCTTGCTCAGGTCTCTGGGCCCCAGAGTCTTTGCAGGATTAAGTCCTCATGTGCTCTGAATTCATGTAACCTGCACCCTGATTTTAATTTCATTCACAGGCTGTTGGGCTTCTTCCCTTGATGCTCTATTGCACAGCTGTTAGAAAGGTTTTGAGGGGTCCTTACAGGTATTGTTCAGTCAGGCAAACCTTCCCGTTTTCTCCGTGTTCCCATCAGGAGAGGTTTGTCACAGAAAGGACAGTGGCCAGCATGTGACTGAGTACGCCACAGTTGGGCTGCTGCATTCAGCAAGGTGCTGACAGGCAAGACAACGCCTGCCTGAGTGCAATGCATTTTGGCTAGGACACCAAACTGAAATACTCCTAGTTCTGCAAACTTCAGCCTGAACTGGAGCAGGCCGGGTCCTGTGACTCGTTAACATGGAGTTGGATTTAATCTGGCCAGGTTTACACCAGGGTAATGGCTGGTTTTAAACTGTGCCCAAGTTGCCTAAGTTTTCTTTATGACATGCACAGCCTTTTTGTGAAGAAAAGTGCCCTCTTTTAGAACAGCATAAGTAGGAAGGGAACTGCCAGAATAAACATCTGTCAATGCAGTCCAGATCTCTCAGTGACACCTTCTGAGGATAAGAGACTGAATGCCGTTCAAAGGAAATGGACTGTGGAGCTGAAAAACAAATATCCACACACAGACTTGTGTTCAAACTGCACTCAGTTTAATTCCTTGGATGTAAATGGTTGTTGGACACCAGTCTTCAGTGAACTGGCAAGCTTGTGACTGAGGGCTCTGTGAGCAAAGAGCATTTATTCTACATGTATAAACATCATGGTACCCAACTGGACATTTGACTGAGCTAAAGAAGCAGTGGTGCCTGCTCGCTCATACAGAATGGCCTGAGGAAAGAGTCCTGTAAGTGTCAGGTTTAGCTTGTCCAGTGTTAATTACAGATACATAAATATGTAAACAGACCCGTATCTTCAGGGACAATACCTGACCTGCAGCATACTGGCATGTCCCTGAACTAACAACATAAAGCTTAACCGTACTGCCCAGAGAAACCAGGCACTCAAACAAGAGCAATCTTACTTTGTTTAGGGAAACTGTTTTGAAATAAAAATAGGAAAAAGAGGAAGTTTTGTTTTCACTGGCTGTGTAAAATTGGAGTAATGGCACGTGAGCTTTCAGTGTGGCTGTGTATCCTGCAGTTTGGAATAGCTGTACTGAGAGGTATTTGAGTATCCTGGTGCTTGTGCTGCATTCTTAGATGTCTGCAGGTATGCAGATGTGTATATATCATTAGAAGAATAGGGGCACTAATTTTGCTTTGTAAGCATGGCCAGTAATCAATCTGGAATAAAAAAAGCAAAATCAACAGAAGCCTCTTATCATTCCCAGCCTTCTCCATTGATGGCAGCCATTTGCCCCCTTTCTATTAAAACACAACCATACAAATAAATAATGCAGGATTTAGCAGAAGTAAATGGAGGTGGTAGGTAAGGCAGACATGAGTGGGGGAAGTGGGTACAAACTTCCTCATTTAGCTGGGCTGATGCTTTTTTTTGCCAATGTTTAGCTCCTCTGTTACGCTGTCTGCTGCACCAGATACTCGGAGCTTGACTGGTCAGACAGAAGTCTCCAGTAGGGTGGTGGGGATAAGGCAAGGGCCTCTTTACTGATTTGTCTTTTTCTTGTTATCACTTATAAAAAATGATGGGTTACTCTTCAGTAGTCCTTTATGAAATAGCCTATTTGACAGCTTTGTTTTTATTGCTTTTTGCAAGATGGGGGAGAAGGATCATGGTCATTTGGGTACAAAATGATTTTCTCTCAAGCAGAGCATTATTATTAGGATACTTATTAATTTTGAGGCTGTGGCAAGATCTGCAGGTATGAAAATGCAAGTCATCTGTGTCTTTACTTTGACCGCCTTCCTCTACTGGCTTTTTATTCTCCATATATCAGCTCAGACTTCTGTTTTCAACTTTTAAGATCTGTCACAGCTTGGACCCACCCTGTGTATTGGCTCATACATGCTTAAGATACTGGCCTACACTCTGCCAGTAATCTCCGCCTTTGTAATTTCTAAGGGCAATTTTTCTTCAAATACCTTTGTGTTTTATCTTGGCCTGTGCTGAAATCAAAGAGGAGATTCATTTAAGAATCTGCAAGAGCATGTACTTACCCTGATTCTTTCCAGTCTCTTCCCTAAAATTTACATCTGTCAGTAGGCATGTACAGCATATCTAAGCAACTGGTGCACTCTGATCATACCTGCCATAATGGTCTCACTCTTACTTTGTGTTTCATTTATCTGTTTAGGGTATGCATGTGACACTTCTCATCGTGTATTTCAACTTATCTCCCATGAAGATGTATTTACCCAGACTAGTTTTATGAAAACAAACAGGCCTGTTGACATTAATGGTCCAATCCCCATGTATCATAAACTGTTGGACATTCAGGAGCTTTGATTTTAAGCTCTGGGGAGGCAGGAAACTTCATTATCTTCTGTGTCTATGGTACCAACCACAGTAGGACACATCCCAACCAAAGGCCCAAGGCATTATAATAGCATGAATTCATGAAATTCATGAAATTATGATAATATGAAATGAATCATAATGAAATGTTGATAATAATGGAAGCCACTATTCAAGAGTGTTACGGGCTACAAGAGTTCCCCCGTGTACCTGCAGTAACTTTGTTCCTCCGTGGCAAATACAGAGCAGTTGTTCCTCTGAGCTGAAAATGTTCTGCCAGGCAATTGTAAATTAATGTTCCATCCTTTACCTGTGAAAAGTCTTTTTAACATTGCTATGTCATTAAATATTTAGTTTCAGTGATAATACTTTGTTTTCTCTCATCGTGTTTTTAAATAACCTTATTTTAATACTAATTTAGATTTCTACACAACTCCTAAGAGATTTTAACATCTTAAATAAACTATTTCAAGCTTTTCGTAGTCTTTACAGGATCTCTACAGGGCCAGCAGTTATTCTGAATTTTAGCAGGGGAAAAACTTACAAGGAAAATTTGACTTGTTCAAGACTATAAATTTCCAGCCAAGCCAAAATTAGACTCTGCATGGCTCCTAATAGTGTCCAGATCTTCCCACCTTACTTTTTCTAAACCTTTAGTTGGTACTTAATAGGGTTTAGGGGTTTAATTATCAAAAGAGAGGGGGTAAAATTAGCACACACTTTTCTAGCTATGATATTAAAACCAAAGCTAGGCCAACTCGGACAATGCTGGTGCACAAAGAGCAATACTTGACCTCTTCAGAGCAAAGTAATACAGGCTTGGTTGGGAAATAGGCAGCTGTCTGGCAGTGCTGACTATTGCCGCGCACTCTAAAATGAACTGATGTTCTTTACGTTCCAAGACAACTGTAGGTGAAAGTGGCACAATGCAACTCGCTGATAGGAGTTTGTTTACTTGGGAGGCAGCACAGCTTCTTCATGGGCACAGAGAGATCAGGGGAGAAGCTACAAGTTAAGTTACTCTTGTACTACCAGCAGCTTCACCCCCCTTTCTGAGAATAAGCCCGTAGTAACACCACCAGAAATCTTAACGTACATTGCTTTGGCTGTGTGTCCACAGAACTGTAGTGAGGCTTTTCTCTCGAGCACCACGCTCCCCATCATTAGGTTTCTCTTTCAAGATTATTGAAACCTAGTCTAATTCTGGTCAGAACAAGAATAAAAGATTTTTCTTGAAGCAAAAGCAGGGTTTTGCCATACCAGACCATCGTCAACCTGACCTGGTTTTGGAGGCAGTATGCATGTGGTGCTTGAGAAGGAACTGAAAAAGTCTCAAATGGGGTTTTGGGTTTTTGGCTGGTAATGAATAGTATGATGAGGGCGTAGCTAATGCACCCAAGTGTATTTGTATTTTCTGGTCTTCAGACTTGGACCTGTTGTGTTGAACGGATGAGTCCTGCCACTACATGACTGAACTGCCTTTTATTCCATTCACTTAAGAACTTTTTGCACTGGGCATCAAAGTGTTTTAAAACCAAACTCCTGCACCTGTTTCACCTCCTGCTTTACCCAAGTGATGAGCTGCAGAAATGCGACACTCACAGCATGTAATGTAATGCTCAGCACCCATCAACCTCATGGATTTCACAGCTTTTTACACATAAATGATGCCTAGCCCCAGCCCTTTAAGGCAGTGGTGAGCCACATGTCACAGTGTAGGAAGCTGAGGGACAGCTGTGGGAAGTGGCTCACCCACAGTCCCCCAGGGCAAGGCAGGGAAATCTGATTACAGAAAGGGTTCTCAAAAGCTCTCCAAGTGTGAGCTGCTGCCGAAATTCACAAAGGCAAAGTAGTTTAAAAGTAAAGCTCTTTATTGAAGAAGTGCCCAGATTT